AAAAAAAAAAAAAAAAAAAAGTTTAAACACATGTATTAAAATTGAAAAAAAAAAAAAAGAATAAAAGTAAGCATTTATACTTGGGTGAGCAAGGCAGATCTTGTTACTATTCCCAAGTATTTTGCTTTGCAGAAGTTGATTCACTATGATATCATCTGTGCTAGGCAGAAGAATGAATCCACAAAGATACATGTGTTATATAATGGGTTATATGGCCAAAGGGAATGAAGGGTACAGGTGGTGTGAAGGTTGCGAATCAGATGACCTTACATAGGGAGATTGTCCTAAGTTATCCAGGTAAGTGGAAGGTGATAAGTGTCTGTAAGGGGGAGGAGGAGGAGGCAGGCTGTGGAAGGAGAGCGATGCGATGTGGAGATATCGATGGCTTTGAAGATGGCAGAGGTCCAGGAGCCAGGCAGTGTGAATGGCTTCTAGAAGCCAGGAAGAGCGCAGAAACAGTTTCTGTCTTAGGAATGCAGCCCTCTGGCTCTTGGATTTTGGCCTACAGAGACCCATTTCAGACTTCTAGCTGCAGAACTATAAAACAATATATTTGAACTTAAACTGACAAGTCATTAGTACATGATGTGTTACTTTTGCAGTAGAAAACTCTTATATCAGCTAATGCACCTATAAAACACATCTCTGCAGCACATTTTTGAGAGCTAGGAAGTAAACCAAAAGGACCTCTAAGCAACCTCAATATGTGTCACAAATCCCAACAAACATCACACTTCACCCAACAGACAGGAAAGCCCTTCAGACTCATTTGAAGGCCAGTTTTCCCTGTGTAGGAGACATCATCCCACAGGTTGTTCTGTCCTTTCTAAGCCCTTGGGGAGCAGAAGCAGGCAGAGAAGCTCTGGCCTCTGCAGACAGCAGTGAGAGTACTGGCTGGTACCTTTGCAGCGAGGAAGGTGACAGCCATTTAGAAGCAGGTCCACCAAGCAGAAAGGGTGCTAGTTAAATGACATTACATAGAGAGCAAACATTGTCCCTAAGGGCATTCGAATAGTCGTTAATGTACATCATACTGATGAGTAGGAAGCTTAGTAGATACTTCAGGAACATTTCATATTTTTAAAATTAAAGGCTATAGTGGAATCGGGGGAGGCTTTAGAGGCGTGCCTTCACTTGGTGAGACAGATCTCCAGATGTTTTCTACTGCTGCATAAATCTTAGCAGCTAACAAGCACTGGGAGATTTCCTCTTGGTCTCTGTGGGTCAGAAGAGCAGCCGCAGCAGAGTCTCACCAGGCTGGAAGCAGGCTGGGGCTGTAGTCTCCACAGAGCTTTGGAATTTTTTTCCCCTTGAGGATGACTTAGAATTGGTGTTCAGTTCCTTGCAGTTGCAAGTCCAACATTCCCACATCCTTACTGGCTGTCAGCTGTGGGCCAGGTTAAGTTCCTCTGAGATTCCCACTCTTGTTACATGGCTCTATCGAGCCTCTGGTGCTTCAGCTTCTTTCAAGGGCTTGCCCGACTAGGTAAGGCCCACCAAGGATCATCTCTCACTTGACAATTTGAAGTCAGTCAATTATTAATGTAATTACACAAATAACATCCCTTTACATTCATTGGCTCCTCCCGTATTCAAGAAAAATTTTACAAGGAATATTCACCAGAGTATGGGATCTTGGGGGCCAAACTAGAATTCTGCCAATTATGGCCATGGTGAAGGAAATGCTACCTCTTGTATGATTTTTGTAAGTATTTCTATAGCATGCACCTTTCACCATGTAGAAGGTGCTTGAGAGATGTGGGTTTCCTTACCTCTCTGCTCCCACTTTCTACATTACAGGTGTGTAACATCTGTCTGTTGGATGGAATGGGTTGGAATTGTTTTAACCAGAGAGATGGGAGGCTCATTCCAGAGGGGCCAGCAGTCTTACTTTCTGACTCTTGCCTTTTTTTCACCAGGTGGACACGATGACTTTTCAAAAATGATTGACGAGGCTGAGCCCCTGGGCTACCCAGTGGTGGTGAAGAGCACTCGAGGCAACCAGGGTCAGTGCTGCTCCCAGGCTGGCTGGGTCCTGGGTCCACCAGCGCTGCAGCTCTCACAGGACACCAACCTGCGGGAGCATCGCTTGAGGAGCACAGTGTGGCTCTCTGTTCCCTGTGCTGCCTCCCCACCCCGGCCACCTGTCCTTTCATCAGACCCTGCTATCTACTGCTACAGATTCCTGCCTTGACTAGTTGGTTCATCTTGGTTCGTTAACCCCACTTGCCAGGCCATCATGTGTTTCTTTTTTGAGTAATTTCTCTGAGACATGAGATCTAGTCTCAGTGAACAACCCTTCCAAGCTCCTGTGCTGCCTGTTTGACAAACTCTGATTCCTGTCACAACCCTAAGGCCCCACACACAACCCTCCTCTGCAGCCTTCTTTGCTCCCGGGAGCTCTTCTCTCCTCCCCCTTCAGACTACTCTCTTTGCAAAATAGACTATGTGTTGTCCTCTCTTTAAGCACCTGCTCTCTGGCCTGGGCTGGCAGTGCCATTGTCCCTTGTCCACCTGGTGAATTTCTCATCCATTCAGCTAGCTCCCCAAGTCACTTTGTTTCCTACCCCCCCCACCCCTTCCCTCTCTTTCAGACCAAAGTCATTGCTCTTTTTGTTTTTGTAGCCTTTGCACTTGCTTCTTTTATTTTTATTACTTTTTAATGTATCTAGGACAGGGTCTACAGGGTCTCACTACATAGATCCAACTTGTAATGATTCTCCTGTTTTCAGCCTCCCAAGTGCTGGGATTACAGGCATGTGCCACCACGCCCAGTCTCATTTGCCAGCTCAGTGCGCCCCAGGGGCGGGGCTGGCATGCCATGCCAGGGATGGAACCCAGACCGCTGTGCTCTGCCTAAGCAGGCGCTTTAGTCCGCTGAGCTATTTGGCCGGCCCTTGCACTTTCTTGTAAGGCGTGCTGTACTCCATGAGTTTGAAGGGCCTATTCCCTTTGTGGATTGAGCTGCTCAGCAGTGGGGACCAAGTCCTAAGCATTTCTTTCTTTCGTTCTTTTGTTCTTTCTTCTTTTTTTGTTTTTCTTTATTTTTTTTCCTTTTGAGACAGTCTCAGAAGGCAGTTCAGGCTGACCTTGAGTTCATTTTGTAACTCAGGCTGGTCTAGAACTCCCAGTGATCCTCCTGCCTCAGCCTTCCAAGTGCTAGGGTTACAGGTGTGCCTGGCATAGGCACCTGTTTCTGTAAGGCCTGCTACACCGGGGTGCATGGGGGGACTCCTAGGAACATCAGCAGAGAAAGCAGCCCCCATCAGTGCGAGTGGGTTCCTCACTGTGAAACCCAGACGGTAGAGTGTACTCTGGATTGAGGGAGCTAGATAGCCCCCAAGAGAGGTTAGTAACAGTCACTGCTAAATAGGGACTGTGCCCTAGTGCTGGACTAGCCAGAACCGCGGCTCTGAAGGAGCTCAGAGGTGCAGGCAGTAGAGAGAGCACTGTCGCCAGACACGGAGCCCTGCAGCAGACATCAGGGCCCATTTCAGCCTGAGGAAAGGACAGACCAACTGGCCCAAATGCTTCATTGGAAGAAAAGGAAGCTTAAGGTACCACATAGAATGAGAACTGAAGGAGATGAGTGAAAGCGGGTCTGGGTGGTTGGGGCTGCTGAGGAGCAAGATACAGGAGCCTGGGGCGGAGCGGAGCTCCTCAGCCAAGTCGCACATGTGCTGCGTGATGTGCGTTCTCTGTGCTGGTTAAAGACTGTAAAATGTGTGGAGTAGCCACATGGTGCCAGGCGATACGTGTTCTAGACTCTGAGGATATAGATGGGAACTGGAGAAAAATTCTTCCCCTCAAAGAGCTTACATTTTAGAAAGGTATGGCTGACTAAAAGTAGAAGTTAAACATGATGTGTAATATTTTTTAAGTTTTCAAAATTGAAATATAATCCACATAAAATTACCTTCATAAAGTATAAAATTCAGTGGATTTTAGTGCATACAGTATGTTTGAGAGCAGTTACCAGGTGAATTTCAGAACACTTCTGTCACCTCAGAAAGAAACCTGTACCTATTAGAAGGTAGTCCTAACTACCTCTCCTCAGCCCCCAGAACCACTGCTCTACATTGTGTCTTTCTGGATTTTACTATTTTGCACTTTTTATATGAATGGATTCGTACAATATATGAACATTTGTGGCTGGCTTCTCAGCAGATATTCAGGGTTTATCTATGTCGTACCATTTAACACTGTTCTGTCCCTCTGATGCGGTGATAATCTATTATGTAGATACACCATGTTTTGTTGATCTGTTCATCATTTGGTAGACATGTAGGTTGTTTTCACTTTTTTACTATCACAAAGTGTTGTAATTATTGTGTACAAGTTTTCGTCGACCATGTTTTCATTTCTCTTAGGTGGTAGATACCTGGGAATGGAATCTCTGGGTCCTGTGTTTAATTGCTAAGAGAACTGTTAATTATTTTCTACAGTGATTACACATACCACCAACAGTGGATGAAGGTTTCACTTTCTTCACATCCATATTTTTGCCAACCATCATTTTTTTTTGTATATGTATGTTTATAGGTACTAGGGATTAAACTAGTTTACTGTATAGTAGATGGCAAGCAAATACTCTGCTAAAGCTACATCCCCAGCCCTTTTCTTATTTTATTTTGAGATAAGATCTTCTAAATTGCATAGATTGGCCTCCAATTTGGAATTCTGCCTCAGTCATTAAAGTAACTAAGATTACAAGCAAGCACCACTTCACTAACTTCATTTGATTTAAATTCCTTGTTCTTTTCTTCCTTTTTTTGGTTTTGTTTGTTTTTTGTTTTGTTTTGAGATAGAATCTCACTGTACAGTTCAGGTTGGCCTTGAGTTCCCTTTGTAGCCAGGCTGGTCATAAGTTTGCAATGATCCTCCTGCCTCAGCCTCCTGAATGCTAGGATTATAGGCACCACCATGCCTGTCCATTTCTTTAATAATTAGTGATATCAAGCATCTTTTCTTCTGCTCATGGGCTCTTCATATTTTTGGAGGAATGTTTATTTAAATTCTTTGCTAACAATTTATTTATTTATTGCTGGGAATCAAGCTCAAGATTTCACTTGCCGGGCAGATGCTGTGCTACTAAGTCACCATCCCCCTTGATAATTTTTAAATGTCTTTTTAAAAGTTATAGGGTTTAAATATTCTTTAAATAATATAAATACTAAGATTATATTAGAGACATATTTTGAAGAATTTTCTCCCCATTCTGTAGGTTATTTCTCTTTTCTTTTTTTTTGTGGAACTGGGATTGAACTCAGGCCCTTGCGCTTGCCAGGGAAGTGCTTATTCTACTGAGCCATCTCCCCAGTCCCTGTAAGTAATTTTTCATTTCATTTTTTATTAGATACAGGATCTCACTATGCAATTCAGACTCATAATGATCCTCCTGCCTCAGCCTCAACACTGGGATTATAGGTGTGCATCCCCACACCCAGTTTCGGGGCTGGCCCCTGCACAGCATGTGGTACTGAGATACTGGGGATCAAACACGGGTCCTTGTACTTGCCAAGTGGGGATTACACCACTGAGCTATCTCCCCAGCCCTAACTTTCATTTCTTGATAACGTCTTTGATCCATAAAGATCTTACAGGTTATTTTAGTGAAGTCTGATTTATGTATTTTTGTTGTTGTTGGATTCTGGTGTTTTTGTTTTGTTTTGGTTTGGGTTGGGTTTTTTTTCCATAATTTTACTGAGAGACAAATAGTAATGAGACAGTTTCAAATCAAATTGGCAGGACAGTTTCAATAATTAACACATTGCACTACTGTCTTCCTAGTGATTATTTGCTGTACAAGATGCAGACATGAGGGCCGGGGAGCTGGCTTAGTGGAATAAGTGCTTCCCTGGCAAGCGCAAGGGCCTGAGTTCAATCCCTGGTTCCGCAAAAAAAAAAAACAAAAAAAAAAACATTTTGAATACACAGATACACAATGGACATTCATTTATATATCTCCTTTTTTGTTTAGTTCTGTCATTTGAATATTATAGGTGTGTTAACTCAGCAAAATAATCTAAGAGTTCAGTAAGCCATCATAGTATTGGGTCTTCCACTTGACTGGCAATGTCAGAAATTGTTGACCTGAGTCCACTACAGCTCAACCTAACACCATGGCTTTACTTCTTATACTTCATTTTTATATTTTTCTGCTGGATGGGTAAGCCCAAGATAAAGGAAGACCTATGCAACAAGAGTAGTAGCTTTTGGATCTGATAAGGTCAGTCAAATCCCCTCAGGATTTATCCTGAGACCCTGTACCTCAGATTGTAGATCCTTTGTCAGTGTGAGCCATGTGGATGACTCATGGCCATTGCTTGGCCAATGTGTTCTCTGTGAAAGCCTGAGAGAATGTTTTCTCTCCATGTGACTCTCCTTAGGCACACTCTACATCATCGATCACTTTCGTCTTTGGCCCCATAATCTCCTTGATCAGAAAATTTGGGACACTACTGAATTACATGACATTAGAGTACAAGATCTCATGTCTTGTGTCCTAATTGACCTTGGAAGGCTAGGGCCAAAATGTTGGCTTTCCTTGCAGCGCTCCTTTTTCTCTAATTTTGGTCTGCAAACTTAGGTTTTTAACCATCCAGAAGAGAAGCTTATTGTTATTACCATACAACCAAGGCTGTTAAGCTTAACTTCACTATCTGTCTGGATATCAAACATTTTAGGCATAACATGGAACAGGTATTTTTCATCAAGTACTGATACGTTGAACTTTAAGTCCCTACAGAATATGATGAAAAAACATTTTAAAAAGTAGAATATATTTTAAAAATAGGCATAAAGAATTATATAATTCTTCTGTTTACACATAAGTCCAGAAATCTAACCATACACAACATTGTAGCAGGACAGTCCAGCAACATTCCTTTTCCTGTCTCCTGCCTTCATGGACCACCCCCTTCTTTTTGAACAGTCATTACCTGAGAGACAGCACATCAGCAACTGTCATGTCATGACAAGCAGCCCATATTCAGAAGACCAGAAT